ATGCTTCTTGGTTTTTCTTTCTTTTTCCTTTTTTTTTTTTTTTTTTTTTGGTTTGTGTGTGTTTGTGTGTTTATTACGGCGGGGATAAAGTTGATGCTGGCAACGCTGAGTCCCCTGCTTTTTTTGTGCGTTTTGTCGAGTCTTGTCCTCTCAATAGACCCAACATGGTGGGGTGTGTGTATGTATGTTGTTTTGTCTCCTTTATCAATTCTTTTTTTTTTTTTCTGTCTGTTGGCGGAACAGCAAATAAAGAGAGGGGGGGCGGGAGGTGGTGGTGGACAGAAGAGGGAAATTGGTCAGGGTGAATAACAGACCACGTGGCAATCCACACGCCGATGTTCCAGGCGTTTCCACTGCAGCACAAGAGGATGACGCGGCTCTCGCTGCCTTTCATCAACGTTGGTGTATGCGAGGTTATGAACTGCGCCACCAGGGACCACATGAGCTCCTTCACTGTTCACAACACACGCAACCGTGGGGCCCATTTGGCTGCGACTGGCAACAGCAGCAGCAGCAGCCACTTTGAAGCAGCCGCCCCACCATTGACGTTGTCTGTGCCGTTTATGTCCGAGGTGGTGGCAGGTGGTTTGTGTGACAGCTTTACCGGGAACTATTGCTCCCGCTACATTGGGAAGTATCTTGCCCGTGCACTTAGTATTCATTCTGTGTTGCCTGAAGGCATTGCCCAGCTCCGTCGGGAGCTAAAAGATGATCCTATTATCGATTTACTGATGGCTGCACACTCTCGGGAGCGGCTGCTACACAGCAGAAAGTCACACGCCGATAAAAAAACGCCACAGGGGGTTAGTCGTGTGTTCTCTGAGTGGGAAATGCAACAATACGCCATGTTTGCTGATAACGCATTTATGAATGCTTGTCGAGCAAATGAGATGGTTGGAGGGTTAAATGACAAACTTGTGTTGCGGAATAGCGAGGCAGCCAATAGTGGATGTCGCGCAGTGTGGTTCACAGCCACCGTAGCACCCGTTGCGCTCCAAGAAAGGCGGCAGGAGCGCAGGCGTGAAGTGGATCAAGGAGGGACCGCGCCACCCCCTATACGATGGGAAGCCAAGGCAAAAGGGTGTGAATACTCCGTGAAGGAGTGTAAGGGCACTGCGCCGACCTCACCCTTCTGTCTTGACGTGTTGGTGAGCAACGTTGGCGATTCACGTGCATTTGGTATAGCTAGGAACACGTTGACGTCAGAAACTCGCAGTATTCTTGACGCCACCAGAGAGCACGTGGTTCCTCTGAGCTCGGATCACAAGCCACTTCGAACGCTGGAACTCCGTCGTATTCTTACCGCTGGTGGAGTTGTGCGATCTGACGTTGGTGATATCATTGACGGAAATCCCTTTTATAATGTTTCCAGAAGCTTTGGGCATTGGTCAATGAAATGTGATTCACAGAGACCGCCGAGCGAGCAGAAGATGATTGCACTGCCAGCATGCTGCTCGTGGGAAATGATTCCAGGGGATGTATTGGTCCTTTCTAACCATGCGATTTTTGAAACGCGTTGTCAAGAGGAATCGTCAATGGATGAGATTGCTAAAGTTGTGGTACGTGAAATTGATCGTGGTGCCTCCCCGGAAGAAGCTGCAGCTGCATTGTGCAACTACGCCATCCGCTTTGGTGCCGAACACTCATTGCAAGTGATGGTTGCTATCGCTACGTCAGCCGACTCCGCTCAGGCACCGTGCGAAGCGAAGAAGCAGGAATGGATTGTGCCGGGGCCCATTTACGCAGAGCCCTGCCGCCGATCACCAGAGTATCGGAATGCGTTGCAGGCCGACTGTGAGCGTTGTGCGTTGTCTTTGGCGGAACTTTTGGGGTTACGTTGGCGTCAGGTGAGAAATCTCATTCCATCCCGTCATTTCCTCCCATTGATGACGTATTACGGGAAAGAGTGCTCCGTCCTGCAGCAAATAATGGACGAAGAGGCTCTGTTGTTCAGTCATGAGTCACTTCCCCCTTGTGGTTGCAGTGACGATGTTCTGATGGAATACGACGAGGCACATATGATGAGCGCGTTCGAAAGAATAGCCAAGTCACTCATATCTCCATGCACCCTGTCAACAGCGGAGAGTGGAGGTTGATATCAAAAGCTGAAGACATGCGGTGCGGTGGATGTTCCTTACAGAAGTTGTGGCTTTTACGTATGCTTCTCCCTACATTACATTGGCCCCGTCACTTCTATTCCTATTGGGTGATTTGGGTAGTGAGGTTTATATTGACTGTCTCTTTCTCTCTCTCTCTCTTTCTTCTTTTCTTTCCTTTTTTTCCTTGCTGCGTATCGGTGTTTCTGTCTCTATTGGGAGGCATTATCTCCTTTTTTTTTTTTTTTTGTTCGACTTTGACACTAATGGAATCACAACCACCACCATTGCTACCATCATCGAAACACGTGCACACAACAGCACGGAAAGGAAGGAAACATAAGGCGAACTTAGAAGAGTGTTAGAAACGGTATCACCGGTTAGATTGCGATAGTTGCGGTGGGTTTTTTTTGATTGGTACAACCACTTGTGTCACGTACTTTTTACCATGAAGACAAATAGTCTGGCTGATAATAGGGCGCTTTTGCAGGTTCTTTCTCTCTCAGAGAATACGGAGCTGACGCCTACGGATATTCTTAGTTGTGCAATTGTCGGCGGTGTTGTTGGAATTTTTGAGGATGAGAAAAAACGGTACGTGGACTCCGTGTTGCTACCGTCCTCTCGTGACCTCACGACATTAGCTACGTTTATTGCGGAGGGATTTTTTGCGCCGTTTCTTCGTTCGGCATTAGGTGATCATTTGCCGCGGTACACCATTATCGCGGAGTCGGGTTGCTTTGAGGCGTTGTCCCTTCCAGTGATTTTGTTTCCCGATTGTTTTTTGCTGTTGCCATCCCCGTATGTTGCGTCTCCGAACAACACGACTCCGCCAGGTTTTCCCTTGGGGGGAGGCGCCATCAATGTATCATTGGACGGCTTTTCAATGGCCTCTGTGTCTTCCGTGCCGACGGAGGTGGCCGACGTCTTGCAGCTTCATCAGCACCGTTCGCATGTGGCGTTGTTACTCTTAAAAAATGTAAATGAGATTTTACGAGATGCGGAGGTTTGGAAGTTGAAGATTTCAAAGGAAAAAATGACGGCAGGGATCTCTGAAATGGCTGCCATCAATGCTGTAATGGCGCTTTTTTATGAGGTGAAGATGTTGCTGCTTTGCTGTCTTGTGAGTAGCAAGAAGGCGTACACGGTCGAAAAGGATTTTTTCACTGGTAGCCACAATTCCGCACAGAAATACTTTAGTGAGCTCTTTTCACCGGATGAGCTCTGCAGGATATTTGATCATAAAAGTCGATCTTCCGCAGAGCACGTGGAAAAGTGGTACGACGCCATGATGACTACTCTCATCGACGGGGTGTCGGCACAGGACAGTGAGTTGCAAGCGTATATTCACGAATTGCAGCGGTCATTAGCCGAGGATGAGCGGCGAATCACTGGAGCGCCGCTGTATCTTCTTCATCGACCACACGATGCGGCAAGCACGACACTTATCCATCTTGCGTGTGTGCACTCGGAACTTCCAAGCCTCGAATTACAACCTGGTGAAATGTTTCTTTTGCTTGACCCTCTAGGTGAGTCCCTGCTGTTTGATGCGGAGCCATCGAAGCTTTGTACGCTGCTCCGCCGCTGCGCTTTAGTGAAGCTAACAGTAACACAGCTGCGGGACGCGGAAAGAATACTATCGTGCTCCCCTTGGTGTGAGCTTTGCGATACCGTTGTAGAATCCGTTCAATATCACCTCAATAACGATGCATTCTTGTCCGTCGTGCTTGAGAAGAATAGTTCCTTCCTTGTGAAACTGGTGCGGTGGCTGAGAGGGATGCCCGCAGCCGAAGAAGACGGAACAATGGTCCGTTCGACGGAAACAAGGCAGCAAGAGGTTCTGGGGGTGTCTATGGCAAACCACATCATTGAATACGCCATTCATTTCTCCTCGTTTGGCGCCGCTATCGCACAATTCATACGTGAGGTGGTCAGCTGCACGGAAATAAGCGAGCCACAGCTCCATACATGGGTGGATCGCTCGATAATCGAATTGGAGAACAAACCATCGGCGGCGGTTGGGCTTTTCGCACTTGTTGTGGCCTTCTCCCTCGCACAGAGGGGCTGGGATTTACCGGGGGCAACCCGCGAGTCAGCCATTCGGCTCTGCACACAACATAAACAACAGCCGAATTGTGTTACACTGCTCAATTTGCTCCGCCGCCATTCCCAGTAGGCGACAGGTGAAAAGGAGCGGAGGCATAAAGAGGGAAGCAAAAGGGAGAAGAAAAAAAAAAAAAAAGAAACAATTATCTTATTTTTTTTTTGTTCGTTTGTTTGCAGTTAAACGCAGGGGAGCCAATCCAAATAACAATCGCAAGATCAACCGTGTGTGGAAGAAATACAAAATGGAGTCATCCGCTGCTGTGAGACATTTCTGTATCTTCTTTTTTTTTTTTTCTTGTGTGTGTGTGTGTGTGTGTGTGTGTCTTGTTCTACCGTCTCTCTTTGTTTCTCTTTTTGCTTTTCTCTGTCCTCGGCTTTCACGCGCACTTACTTCTTGGGGATATGGGGAGGTTCCGTTTCTTGTGGTTTCCCCAACTACTTTTTTTTTTCTTTTCTTTTCTCCTCTTTTCTTGGCTTCTGCCTAACACATCGTTGTGTGTGGAATGCGTTGGCAGCCGTGATGGAACAGCTGGTTTTTGTTGTCCATCTGCCCCAATTTTCTCCCCTTCTTTGCTGCCATGTTTTGCTGTGCCTCTTACTTCTCTACAATTACACACAAATGTGCGGCGTTGCTTACAAAATTCAAAATAATTTTTTTTTTTTTTCTTTTAAAGGGGGGGGTGGAGAAAACGAAAAAAAAAAAAAGGGTGAGGTATGCGCAACTACAACAACTTCAACCGCGTCTGGAAGGCGCCACGCCGCCCGTTTGAGAAGGAACGCCTTGACCGCGAGATGAAACTCTGCGGCCAGTACGGCCTTCGCTGCAAGCGTGAGATTTGGCGCGTGAACATGACGCTCTCCAAGATGCGTCGTACCGCCCGTCTGTTGTTGACGTTGCCGGAGAACCATCCGCGCCGGCAGCTGGAGGGTTCCGCCATCATGCGCCGCTGCCACGACTACGGCTTCCTCGAGGAGGAGAAGGACAAACTTGATTACGTCCTCTCGCTCACCGTCCCCGACATTCTCGAGCGCCGCCTCCAGACCGTGGTATTCAAGCACGGCCTTGCCAAGTCTGTCCACCACGCACGTGTGCTCATTCTGCAGCGCCACATTGCGGTGGCCAAGCAGATTGTGACCATCCCGTCATTTATCGTCCGCGTGAGCTCCGAGCATCACATTGCCTTCGCTGACGCCTCACCGTTCGGCAACGGCCGCCCGGGGCGTGTGAAGCGTGTGAAGAGGAAGGCAGCGAAGAAGGGTGCAGCCGGCGGCGACGACGACGAATAGGAAGCGCAACTCTCAATCAACCCATCCAGTTTATTTTAACATAAATTTTTTTGCCTTCGCCAAAAATATAGATAGGTTGTGCATCTAGCCCTACCTTTTTTTACACTTTGCCTCTACCAACAATAATACGAATTCTTTAATGATAAAAAAAAAAAACACGTTTTTCTTTTTTCCCCGATGATTTGATGGCTTTTTCCGCCACACAACCGGAATGAAGAGGGTGGCATACACATTCAAAGGAAAACTCAAATAAATTATTTTGTAAAGCAAGCAATAATGGCTCAGCGTGTGGAAGTTTTGCAGACGCAGCTGCCAGCGTACAACCGCCTGAAGACCCCGTACGAGGCGGAGCTCATCGCGACGGCCAAGAAGATGACGGCACCCGGTAAGGGCCTGCTCGCCGCTGACGAATCCATTGGATCTTGCGCGAAGCGCTTTGCTCCGTTGGGCCTAAGCAACACGGAGGAACACCGCCGCCAGTACCGCGCACTGATGCTTGAGTGCGAGGGCATGGAGCAGTACATCAGCGGCGTCATCCTGCACGACGAAACGGTGTACCAGAAGGCAAGCACCGGTGAGACGTTTGTGCAACTGCTGCAGCGCAAGGGCGTGGTGCCTGGCATCAAGACAGATATGGGCCTGAACCCCCTGGTGGAGGGTGCTGAAGGCGAGCAGATGACGGGGGGTCTTGACGGCTACGTTGAGCGCGCGCGGAAGTACTACTCGTTGGGCTGCCGCTTCTGCAAGTGGCGCAACGTGTACAAGATTCAGAACGGCACCGTGTCGGAGGCAGCCGTGCGCTTCAACGCCGAGACCCTTGCCCGCTACGCTGTGCTCTCGCAGCTGAGCGGACTCGTCCCCATCGTTGAGCCGGAGGTTATGATTGACGGCACGCACAGCATTGAGACGTGCCAGCGCGTCTCGCAGCACGTGTGGGCGGAGGTGGTGACTGCCCTCCACCGCCACGGCGTGATGTGGGAGGGATGCCTGCTGAAGCCCAACATGGTGGTGCCCGGCGCGGAATCTGGTGTGAGGGCAACGCCCGGGCAGGTGGCGCAGTACACCGTGTCGACACTTGCCCGTGTGCTTCCTCCAGCGCTCCCCGGCGTGACGTTCCTGTCGGGTGGTCTCAGCGAAGTGCAGGCTTCGGAGTACCTGAACGCCATGAACATTTGCAATCTGCCGCGCCCGTGGAAGCTAACCTTCTCGTACGCCCGCGCCCTGCAGTCCAGCGCTCTCAAGGCGTGGGGCGGCAAGGACTCCGGCATCGCTGCTGGCCGCCGCGCGTTCATGCACCGTGCCAAGATGAACTCGCTTGCTCAACTTGGTCGCTACAACCGTGCCGAAGATGACAAGGAGTCGCATTCGCTGTACGTCGCTGGAAATTCGTACTGACCGTGACTGTCCGACTTAAGCGGCGGTCGTCCGTCAATTGCAAAATTTAAAGATTTCAGAATTAATAGTCTGGAAATGTAGGAGAAATAAGGTGTTGAGCGCTGTAGAGTGAATATGTGACAGCAAAATGAACTAAATAAAAACGAGAAAAAAAAAAGGGATAATTTGGCACTGAAAAGTGCCCTGGGGCAGGGAATGTATGGAGATGTTTGTTGTTTTTTTCTGTTTGTTTTTCTGTTTTTTGAGTATCTAAGGAGAAGAAAACGGCTTTTGATCAAGCTACGGTATTCCTCCTTTTAGCCACTTTTGAAGCCAGAGGCGCGCACAAATGCCTCTAGCCCTAAAAAAAAAGCGGCTTAAATGTATGTGATGATGATGTTTGAGGTGGTAATGGTGATGGTGTTGAGGGCAGGATAGACTGGAATTTGCGTAGTTTATTCAGCCCTGCTCGTGGGTGCGCCTGCTTAATGATCCAATTCACCGTACTTTCCCGATGATTTGATGGCTTTTTCCGCCACACAACCGGAATGAAGAGGGTGGCATACACATTCAAAGGAAAACTCAAATAAATTATTTTGTAAAGCAAGCAATAATGGCTCAGCGTGTGGAAGTTTTACAGACGCAGTTGCCAGCGTACAACCGCCTGAAGACCCCGTACGAGGCGGAGCTCATCGCGACGGCCAAGAAGATGACGGCACCCGGTAAGGGCCTGCTCGCCGCTGACGAATCCATTGGATCTTGCGCGAAGCGCTTTGCTCCGTTGGGCCTAAGCAACACGGAGGAACACCGCCGCCAGTACCGCGCACTGATGCTTGAGTGCGAGGGCATGGAGCAGTACATCAGCGGCGTCATCCTGCACGACGAAACGGTGTACCAGAAGGCAAGCACCGGTGAGACGTTTGTGCAACTGCTGCAGCGCAAGGGCGTGGTGCCTGGCATCAAGACAGATATGGGCCTGAACCCCCTGGTGGAGGGTGCTGAAGGCGAGCAGATGACGGGGGGTCTTGACGGCTACGTTGAGCGCGCGCGGAAGTACTACTCGTTGGGCTGCCGCTTCTGCAAGTGGCGCAACGTGTACAAGATTCAGAACGGCACCGTGTCGGAGGCAGCCGTGCGCTTCAACGCCGAGACCCTTGCCCGCTACGCTGTGCTCTCGCAGCTGAGCGGACTCGTCCCCATCGTTGAGCCGGAGGTTATGATTGACGGCACGCACAGCATTGAGACGTGCCAGCGCGTCTCGCAGCACGTGTGGGCGGAGGTGGTGACTGCCCTCCACCGCCACGGCGTGATGTGGGAGGGATGCCTGCTGAAGCCCAACATGGTGGTGCCCGGCGCGGAATCTGGTGTGAAGGCAACGCCCGGGCAGGTGGCGCAGTACACCGTGTCGACACTTGCCCGTGTGCTTCCTCCAGCGCTCCCCGGCGTGACGTTCCTGTCGGGTGGTCTCAGCGAAGTGCAGGCTTCGGAGTACCTGAACGCCATGAACATTTGCAATCTGCCGCGCCCGTGGAAGCTAACCTTCTCGTACGCCCGCGCCCTGCAGTCCAGTGCTCTCAAGGCGTGGGGCGGCAAGGACTCCGGCATCGCTGCTGGCCGCCGCGCGTTCATGCACCGTGCCAAGATGAACTCGCTTGCTCAACTTGGTCGCTACAACCGTGCCGAAGATGACAAGGAGTCGCATTCGCTGTACGTCGCTGGAAATTCGTACTGATGTTTCTTGTATTTTGATTTTTAATCCAGTGGTATCCGAAATTTTTTCGGTGTGATATTGTGAATTCTCCGAATTTTTTTGGATTTTGTTTGTTTGTTTCCTTTGGTGTGGAGGGCAAATGGTTGTTTCTTTTTTTTTTTTTTTTTTTTTTGTGATGTCTATTCAGTTGTGCTGTGGGGATGGTGGAGGAGGACCCTTCGAGGCGGCCGTTGCCACGATTGACGGCGGAGCAACTGCAGGATCAAATTCGACGTCTGACGTATCGTCCACCCCCACCGGTGGTGCGTGACCCCTTTCCGGTCTGTCCGTCCGTAAAGCGGTCGAAGGATGAAATTGATGCCGTCACTCAGCGTGTGTTTTATGAACAATGCCAACGGCATGAAAGGGCGCTTATTGAGGCGAAGGAGAAATGGGAGAAGGAATGGGGCCTTTTTTCAAAGGAGGTACCAAGCGAATATGTGGAAGATATGGTGAAGCGTCTGTACTACGACACCATTGAAAGACTTCATGCGTCACGCAAATCGGCAGAGGAGCGGCTTTTATTCAAATCCAATAAAAAAGTTCCCGTAGTCCCGCTTAAAAAGTTTGTGGAGGACATGTATTTGAAGGGCATGCAACGAGAGAGGGATAAGGAAAAAAAACTGTATGAGAAATACATATTGCCGACGGAAATCAAAAGAACTCTAATATCAAGAGAGGATGCGGAGGCGAGTGGCACGCGGTTATCGGCGAGAACAGGAGCGAACTAAATTTGTTTTTGATTTTTTGTTTGTTTGTTTGTTTGTTGTTGTTTTTTTTGCTTCACGTGTTGCCCCATTATTGTTCTTTTTTTCCTTTTATGTTTGTTACTCTGCCGGAGGCTACCGGTTAGCCGGCTTGGTTGTCCCTCCCCCGCTTCTTATTGCTTTCCATTGTTCCCTTTGTTTATGTGTTCTACGCGTGAGTGCATGCCCCATACATGTATGTATTTTCTGTATTGCATTGCAGGTTGGACGAAACCGGTGGGGCTCGCACCGAAATGTTTATTTGTCTTCCTGTGGTTGCAGCTCTTATTTTTATTTTAATCCTCTCCCCCTCTCTGTCTCTTTCTTTCGTTTCTTTTTTTTTTTTTTTTTTCCCTTTTGCCATTTACTTTCTTTGTCAATGTACCCGTGATGATCGAATGCGTTGTTTATTTCTCTGCCTGTCTTTTGTTGTTTTTGTTTTTTCCCCTTTTTTTCACAGTTGATGGGAGAGACGACTATGGAAGATGATGCGGAGTCGTACCTGCGGCTTGCGTCTAAGCTGAAATGGAAGCACTTTGCCCGAGGACACAACTCCGTCTCGCAGAAACAAGGAGAAGTGGTGGGAGGAAACTCCGCCAATTGCCCTTCGAAACCACCCATGCGTTTGCCAATGAAGAAGCCAAGGCGCATCCATGACAGTGACAGCGACGACGAGAGGGGCACGGCGCCTCGTCGTGACGCTGCGGAGGCGCCTTCCATTTCCTCTTTTTCCTCCTCCCCCTCTTTCGCGAGGAAACCTTGCAACGGTGCTCCTATCACGTTAATGGAGAAATGGTTTCCCGGAAGCACACTGGGGAATGCTACTCTTGACGCAGCTGAGGCACCAACACCGGAATACACGGATTTGACGATGGCTCGTATGAATGTTGTGCGTGAGCGTTTCTTGACGTTGCGTGGTGGAGTAGAAGATGTGTTAAAGTACGCCGTGGCGAACGGCGATGGGGACTTTACTGAGGATAGGGCAGACTGGGATTGGCGGGCACTGCGGGACACATTGTCGCAGCTCACTTCACGGGACGTATTTCGCACGAAAAAACGAGTTGTACGTGCCGTGCAATGGTTGCTTGCTAACAAACCTTCATCGATAAGCATTCCCAAAAGACCCACAGTGAGGCTATGGGAAAGATATTTGAATGAACACGGTCCGGAATGTGGCCACATGCCGCCACTCTCCCTGTTGGTGTGGCTGGATAGCGCGCGTACAACGGCTCTCTTTGCGGCTTTGGTGGATCGGACGCTGAGGTTTTACAAACAGGGAATGAAAGCGGCGATGCATACTTCCCAGAAGGTGGATGAAACCATTTTTGAAGTTAGCGAAAACACCAATGTCAACGACGATAAAAAGGACGAGGAAGAAGAGGATGAAGAGGATGAAGAAGAAGACTTGCAACCTCATGACGCAAGGGATGAAAACATACATGGGACAAATGAAGATAGCAAACAATTACTTTTTTTTACCCAACTGACACCTTTGTATGGTGGTGGTGCCCGCGAAGAAATCATTTCTTTGCTGTCTTTTCTGCGAGTTTTTATGCCGGTGGATGCGGTGGATGCATCTGGAAACGTTGTCGGCCGCTCTGTAGGTCATGGGATTTGGCTGTACGCCTGCTTGTCAGCTGTGGACACGCCACTGGAGCCGGATTTAGATCGGCTGGTTCACGAATTTTTCCGCATCTGCTGTCAGCAAATACGGACATTGGGTGAAGTGCATGGGATTCGTGGTGGGAATCGCGGGGCTATAGTTCATGCCTTCTCCCCACGCAGCGGTGATACAACTACCCGTCGAGAATACAACTCAATTGACGATGTGAGGAAGGAAGATGTTTTAGCTCTCCATACCATTATTATCATCCTGGCGAAACTATTCCGGCAAAATCAAAACCGTCTTATTCCCCTTTAGGGACATCGCCAATTACCGATCAAAAGGGAAGGACTCGTTATCATACGCTACTTAGAGAGAAAGCCCAGCCAGAAGCGCAAGAACAATCGCGGGCCAACAGATGCGGGGGAAAAGAGGGGAGAGAGAGAGACATTAAATTTAAAACATCTGATTTCTGTTTATTGGAGGTGGTGATTCCCTGAGGTTTCTAATGGGGCTGCATTTTATAATGGCACAGTCACGCATATGTTTCTTTCCGTCTTGTTGTTGTTGTTGTTGCTTTTTGCTTGTAGGAGGGGTTTTTCCCCAATACTAGAAGTAAACAAGGAAAAGAGAAAAAAGAAAAAAAAAAAAAAAAGAGTACATACTTGAGGTTAAGTGAGAGAGTAATTGAGAGAGAAAGGGAGAAAAGTGACTGGGATGTACACTCTTCTTGTGTGTGCAGATCTCTATGGGGATAAATGCAACTTGGAGCTTGGTTTCCTTTCTATGCCGACAATGACGGAGTTGCAAGAGAAGGTGCTTCAGGTGTTTGAGGCTGAAGCTAATATACGAAGACCATCAGGGTACCCAGTGATGGATTTTACTATCGCACGCATCCAAATATATGATGATGCACTTTTGAAGTGGGTGGATTTAGTTTCACAGACTCAGATGCATGAGTACGATCAGTTATACGTTTTTCAACCACAAACTACGTGGCATACAGATGTGCAAAAGGATCTTCCTCCGCCTTGCCCTCCATCAAAGAGTCTTGCCGCATCTGTGGTACACTCGATGGTTAATTCACCATACAAAAGTGCAGTTATTACGGGACACACATCTTATCGAAACGACACGCCGTGTGCATCGACAACTGGCAGTATGGCTCTTTCACCTACAAGGATGCGATTAGAGGAGCAACGACGAAGAGAGCGCGCATTGCAGGAGGAATTGAACCGTATTCGTGATGAGTCAGCCCGACTCGAGCGTGAACTCATCATGGAAGAGGAAGATAACCGGGCACGTGATCAGGAACAAAAAAATCGAATTTTACGCCAAAAAGAAGAGGAAGTTTTTCGTCAGCGAGAGATTCTCATGCGCTCTCAAGAAGAATTCCGCCGACTTCAATCCGAGACGACGCAGTATTAATTCCGGCCATGAACACGTGGAGAACATTTTTTTTTTCTTCTTTTTTTTTGTACGGAGATGCAGTTTTACTGTTTGTTTCTATTCCCTTGTGTTGTTGTTGTTGTTGTTGTTGTTTGTGCAGCTCCTTTTTTTTTTTTTTTTTTTTTTGTGTGTGTGTCTTTTGTTTTTTATTACTATTTATTTTGGAACTAGATTGAAGGGTCTTTTTTCAGCACTCCCTGGGTCATCTTTTCACTCCGCAGGTATTTTTTTTTTTTTTTTTCCCTCCCTCTTCTTCTTCTGCGGGGACGCCGAGAGCCAGGCATCATGCGCGTGCTGTGACCTTGTGGATCTGGGGAAACCAATGAGATGGTCTGCTTCTGAATGCAGCGCCTCCGAGAAGGTTTTACTGTTGATGTTGTTTGCTTGAATTCGTGTGTGTGTATGCTGAATTATCTTTTCTTTCTCTCTCTCTTTCTGTGTGTGTTTGTTTGTGGTTGACCCTTTTTTTTTCTTTTTTTTTTTTTTCTTCCCACAGCCCTGCGGAAAGAGAAACAGAAGGAAAGGCACGAAGGAAGTTCAGCCAAAAGGCGTGAGAAAGAGGCTCCCATATTTTGTTTTTGTTGTTGTTGTCATGCGGCCGTCATCGCATCGGCGGCCAAAATCATCCGCAGCATCCGATGTGGGACGCCGCATCCGCTACTCTGACGCCCCGCCGTGGGACAGATCTATTCGAGTAAATGGGGACAGGGCACTGTCAGCGGGCAGAGCATCGCGCAGAGGGCCTGAAATGATGAAGGCAAAGCTGCAAGGGACACCTGCTCGACCCTCGCACTGCAATTTGGTTACAACACAAGCCGCCACATTGGTGGCCACCGTACCACCCGTAAATGAGCCACAAGTGGAGCTTATGAGTCAGTTGCAAGATGTCGTCGTGCGGCTATCGCAAAGTGCAGTAGGGGAAAAGCAACGCTTGGCTCACATGCAACAGCGTCTGGATGCCTATGCGGCTTTGATGCGGGAGCAAGACCGCATGATTGATGAACTACGAGGAATGAACATTCGATTACAAAAGGAGAGGGATGCGCTTATTTTATTTCGACAACAGAGTCTCAATCATGACCTTCATTTGATGAATAACCTTGAAAACGATGGAGGAATAGACGAGGAGGCTCGGCGGGCTTACGCCAAATATGAAGGACAAAATAATTCATATGGAACTCCTTGCAATGGTTCACTTGGAGCAATGACTCCGCGTTCACGTGGTTTTGTACGCTCCCTGGTAGCTCAACTGCGCGATGAGCGGCGCAAGCGCCTCGAGGTAGAGGAGCAGAGTAGTCGTATGATTGGGGAGCAGCAATTGACAATTCAACGACTTGAGGATCGCCTGAGACCACAAGTCGTAGCCCCTCGCAGTGTTTTAGTTGCTCGATTGGAAAGCCCACATGTCTCTTCGCATCAAAGGGCGTCAAATGAAGAAAAAGATGCCGTTAATACCCCATTGCAATGTCCTTGCGTCGATTCTGTGAGTGCGCCAATGTCATCGCCAAATTTCTCTGTGGTAAATCAAGAGAAGAGACTTACAGAAGTAAATCCGATGGCACCTGCCGTGCCGCCCATTCCACTGCCAGAGCGCAATAAAGAGGCCGTTATCACCGAACAAGTTCATCAATCGCCTGCAGTAAGTATGGACCAGCAGATTACACCACCTCTCGAAGTTCCCTTGAAAATTCACAGTACAAGTTACGATGATGCCGCTGCTATTTTATTCGACATAAGAAAAAGACATGGACTATAAAATAGATATTTCCCTGTTCTTATCGATTACCCCCTCTTTCTCTCTCCCTCTCTCTATGGCTTTGTTATCGTCTCTTGTTATATATATATATATATATACCAAATTGGATAACAAAACCTCCTTGAATGACTGCATGCATTGGATATAAAATGCCTTAAGGGAATGATGATCTGTTTCTCTCTCTCTCTCTCTCTGTGTGTGTGTATTATGTGTGTTTATGTGAAGGAGGTGCACTCTGATTATTGTCATTGTTGTTATTATTAATATTTTCTTCGTTTATTCGATTTTATTTCCCCCCTCCTTTTGGGGTGGTGGGTGGGTGGGTGGGATTGACAAATAAAATAAAAGAAATGTACGTGTTGGCAAGTAGCAGTCATGCGAATATCATCCAAACATCTTGTTAGGCATACATGTGGAGCCGCTTTAACGATTCCCTTCAAACTTCATGGAAATGATATGTTCCGTGTTCTTTTTTGCCCTCACCGGCTTTGCTCGACAACACCGTTGGAGCAGTTAATCATCAATGCTGCTCAATGGGATGCCAGCAATTACTATCATCGTCTTGGCTTTTGTGAGGAGGTACATGATCTTCAGAGAATCAAGGAGCATTATCGTGTTCTTGCGAAACACTATCACCCCGATAATCCCAGTGCACCACCGAATGCCAAGGTTGCCTTTCAGAGCATCAAAGAGGCATACGAGCATGTCGCCTCCAACACCAAGAAGGCCCCAGACAGGAACAAAATGGACGAAGCTGGTTTTGAGTTTTCAGATCAGGTGAGAAGAAAGGCACAGATGCGTTTTTTGGGTGAAGGTGTCGGTCTATTTATGGCGATGACTTTTGTTTTTATTTACATTGTCTCCAAACACAACAAGGAACGTCTCGGAGTGCGTTATTTATGGAACTTTTTACTTATTTTCTTCACCATTCAGTTTTTTCCAAGACTTTTGGCAGCCGCCATCCTCTACGCGTGCCACACGAATTATCTCGTGAGTTTGGCGGAATCCAAAGAACGGGCTGCGACGAGTGTTGTGGTTGAGCGGCGAAGCGATGGCGATGTGTCCGTTCGTCTGGACGGCCTCACGGAAGAAGTGAAGGACAAGACAGTTCTGCAAATTACTATAACCCATGTGCCATCATCGTCATTATCATCATCCAAGGCGCCAACAGGAACGGCGGCGGAGGAATTCAACACGTTGATTGCACCGTCCACCTCAACAACGCTGACGTTTGATCGTGGAGTGACGTCGGTGTCGGTGCCTGCGCATTCAGAGGGCGTCGCACAGTACCGTGTCCGGGCGGTGGACATGAGGCGGGGATTTATATTGGCTGACCGCACGTTGCATGTGTAACGCATGGTGCGAAGTTGTGCTCCATTCTTCACATGAATATGAAATTTAAGAAAAAAAAAAATAATGATAATAATTTAAACAACAACAAAAAAAAGGGGGGAGGGAGGGAGAAGAGGATGTTTTTTTTTTTTTTTTTTTTTTTTTTTTGACTGCGACGATTGCTATTGATTTTCTCTCCGTTAAAAAAAAAAAGAAAAAAAAGTCATGTTAATAAATTTATATTTGTTTCGATGTGGACTGCCTGTTCATTGTTGTTTTGCGCCTCCTTTCCAATCGTGTGGCCAGTGGGTGGAGTGGCGGTAATTATTTATTTATTTATTTCATTCTCCTTCTTTTTCTTTAAAACTCTGTGAAGGAAAGGGGACTGTGGTGGCGTGGGAATCACGTTACTGCACATAAATAGATTTTATTTTTATTTTTTTAATTATATCGATAAACGGCACTTAATTCATTGTTTTTTTCTTTTTTTTTTTTTTTTTTTTTTTTTTGGGGGGGCGGGGGCGGGGGGGGGGACGATTTATTCTCGTTCTGCTTGTGTGCGTGTGTGTGTGTGCACGTAGAAGTCATCATGACGGTAGTGCTTCCTCCGGCGCAGCAAAAAATATTTGAAAAACTCGGCTGTGAGTTTGATGCCCGGGAGTACGCAAAGGCGCTGCGCTGCGCGGATGCCATATTGGCTGTCATCCCCTCCCATGCCGACACCATTGCCATGCGCGGTCTCACGCTGCATCATTTGGATCGCAGGGAGGAAGGCCATTTGGCCATTAAAGAAGCGATTGAACTTAATATTCACTCCACCATGGCGTGGCACTCACTTGGAATGTGCCATAGGACTGAGAAGAATTATCCTGAAGCCATCAAGGCATTTAAACGAGCCCATCAAACAGATCCCACGAACGCCAATGTACTGCGAGATCTGTCATCGGTCTGTGTTCAGGTGCGGGATTGGGAACAATTTGTGGAGACAAGACAAAAAATGGTGACATTAAAAGCGGGTGTTCGTGCCAATTGGATTGCGCTTTCTTGTGGACATCGAATGATGGGACACACAGAACTAGCCGCTGCGGTGATTGATGTCATGACGAGTATCATGGACGCTGGAGAGAATGTGGTGGAAAAGAGCGAGGTCTTTCTCTACCTTGTGGAATTAGAACTTTCTCACAACGCGCCAGCACGAGCGCTTGAACTTCTTAAGAAACATGATGCAGAAATTGTGGATGAGGAAGAAAAAATACTTTTACGAGCAAAGGCACATGCCCTTCTTGGACAAAAGACAGAAGCAGAAAAGCGTTACATGGAACTTATCGGTCGAGGTCTTTCCGAGGCAGACTGTATTGCAGCCATTGCCCAACTTCGTAAGATTCCAATTGACGCCCATCGATGTCCAAAACGTGATGAGGGGAAATATCTGGAAATTCTCCAGCAAGTACTTAACGTTTACCCCAAGTGTGATTATGCCAGGCGACGCATATTGGATTTTATCCCCATTGAGGAGTTCAAGAAACGACTTTGTGAGTATGCATCGACATTTATTATAAAAATGATTCCTTCGTTGTTCAGTGTGTTGAAGTCACTTTATAAAGATCCTGAACGCGCAAAACAAATTGGTGAGGTGTTTTTGGAATGGGAAAGTGAAATTCAACGGAATGACTTTTCAAGTTTTGGTGGAAAGGCAAATCCGTCATTTCTTTTATGGATTTGGATGTATTTGTCATCCCATCATTGTCGTTTGCGAGATTTTGATCAAGCACTTCATTACATTAACCTTGCAATTGATCACACACCAACTGTGGAATTATTGTACCTAATGAAAGCCAAAATACTAGAAAGAAATCAACAGTTTGATGAGGCAGCCATGAATGCAGACAAGGCACGTCAGTTGGACTTACAAGATAAATATCTTAATAGCAAAGCTGCAAAGTATTTTTTCCGTGCTAATCGTATTGAGGAAGCGGAGGCGCGAATGCAAATGTTTTACAAGGCCAGTGCAGTGCCTGGTGATACGTACCTTACGGCACTGGATTCCCAGTGTGCATGGTACGAGCGTGAGGTGGGTGATGCCTTTTTTCGAAGGGGGGATTACATTTCCGCACTGGCAAATTATCTCATGTATGAAGAACATCATATGAGAAATCATGTGGAGTTGTTAGATTTCCATAATTATGTTTTCCGACGGTGTACAATGAGGTCTTGGTTTGATGTCTTGGCCCGTGATGATGATATAAATGGAAATATATTTTTTTTAAAACTTTGTCCACGTATTGTTCGAACATACATGAAGATCCATGAAGAAGGGGAAGAAACCGTACGTGCAAGGTATATTCCCCGCCCAGAACTGGAACTTTGCTCAGATGTGGAAGAAAATAAACATTTAAAACAAATTCGTAAAGAATATTATTTAGATACCGTTGATATTTCTAATCCACTTCAAAAAGCCGAACGGTATCTCCTTCCTTACCTCAGCCATAATTTGTTTTCCACAGAGGCACACTTGTTGGCTTTTGAATTTTACACCATGTTGCGAAAACCTCTTCTTGTGGCCCGTGAGGTGTTGGCATTGGCAAAGATGAAGTGCGCATTGACAGCCGATCATATTGCCCAATTTGAGCGTCAACTTTTTTTGGAAATCGCACCCCGAATGGATCCTCGCGTGAAGAAGGTGATTGATGAGGTGTTGGCCAGCGCATGGGAAAAAATAAAGGAGTAAAAACAGAGGACGAGGACACAAACAGAGAAGGAAGGGAAAGAAAAGAAAAAAAAAACAACGATGGAGAGAGAGAGAGAGTGTGTGTGTGTGTGTGTGTGTGTGCCTTAAGCTGAATCCATCCTTTTATCCTTTTGTTTCTTCATTGTTGTTGTTGTTGTGCATGGTGGCAATGGGGAGTGGGTGTGATCTTTAGGAACCAAAATAAAAATAAAAATAATAATAAATATATTTGTTTGTTTGTTTGTTTTAAAAAAAAACCACTAAAACATGACGCACACAAATGGTCGGGGGGGGCGAAAATACTCGAAAACAAAACCCCATAACATATAAATGCACATACACAAAGCAAAGGCCATCGTGTTACTTTTGTTGTTATTACCGCCGCTTCCTTACAGACAATTTTTGTCGTACAGTGAAAAAAACCACGCTCTATGCTTTAAAAAAAACATATTATTGTACTTGTGCCTTACTTCCATGCGGAATGCGGCTCTACGCTCTGCGTCTTTCCGACACATTTATTCTCATCAACAACACGCCCATTTGAAATTGTCATGCTGCTCACCGGCGCCTTGCTTACCCAATTTTTACCTTTTTTTTTTTTTTTTTTTTTCTTTTTAATGCGCAATCAAGTCACAACGTTGCAATCGAACCTTTCTTACAGATCAAACAAATTTATTAGAAGCTTGCGAAGAGAATGTTCGCGGGCA